TTTACTGAAGGTGCAACAAGGATAGAAGAGAAGATATGACACAAAGGTCAAACCTAGACAATTTGAACCTGGGCAGAAGGTGTTACTGTTGATGCCAGCTGAAAATGGCAAGTTGTTTGCCAAATGGCAGGGCCCATATGAAGTTCTTCAGAGAACAGGTCCAGTAGATTATGAAATATTGATGCCAGACAAGAAAAAGAAAAAGGGGGTTTTCCATGTGAACCTCTTAAAGGAATGGAAGGAACGGGAAGCCTTACGGGGAGAAGTGGGAGAGGAAAGTTTCGGCCCTGAAGCCAACAGTTGCCTGCAAAAGGACCTAAGAATTACTATTAATGAGGAGTTAGATGAGAAACAACAACAGTTGAAAGAGATTGAACAGGAGTTCCAACATATGTTTTCAGGACTACCAGCGTACACAACCCTGATAGAGCATACAATTAACACGTTACACCATGTAATGGTGCGATCAGGGGGAAGGAATTGGCCTCATCATTTAAAGGAGATGATAAACAAAGAAATTGATGAAATGTTAGAGTTAGGAGTGATAGAACCGTCACATAGCCCTTGGCTAAGTTATCCCATAGTAGTGCCAAAGGCAGATGGTAATGTACAATTGTGTATAGACTTTAGAAAGTTGAATGAGGTATCTAAGTTTGACGCACATCCTATGCCTAAGATAGAGGACTTGCTAGAGAGGCTAGGAAAGGCCGAGTATTTCAAGTTCCTGGATCTCACAAAGGGCTATTGGCATATACCCCTGAGGAAGGAGGACAAGAAGACAGCTTTGTCACCCCCAAAGGGCTGTTTCATTTCTCCCGAATGCCATTTGGGTTGCATGGCGTTGTGGCCACCTTCCAGAGATTGATGGACAAGGTGTTGGAACCAGTGAGGGAATTCTCAGGGGCCTACCTAGATGACATCTAGATTTACAGCAACAGTTGGGAGGAGCATCTAACTCACCTCCGCAGGGTACTGACCAAACTAGGAAGAGCAGGGTTAAGAGTGAACCCCATAAAATGTAAGATAGCTCAGAAGGGAGTAAATTTTTGGGGGTTGCAGGTAGAGCAAGGAAAAATCCAACTGGTGTCTGATAAAGTTGATAAAGTTGCCTGAGCAGTACCTTGAACTAAGAAGGAGATACAACAGTTTCTGGGATTGGCAGGATATTATTGCCAGTTTGTCCCTAACTTTGCAGAAATAGCAGCTCCCTTTACGGATCTAACTGTAAAGAGGAAATCGAATAAGGTAATCTGGGGAAGACAGGAGCACCAAGCTTTCGTGAAGGAAATATTGGCAGAACTTCCAAGTAGATATGCTCCCGATTTTACCTTTTGTAGTACAAACAGACGCTTCTGACAGAGGAATAGGGGCAGTGTTGTCACAGATATAGGGGGAAGTGGCGTATCCAGTAATATATCTTAGTAAGAAGTTGAGTACATGAGAACAGAAGTATGCTACAATTGAAAAGGAGGCTCTAGCAGCTAAGTGGGCAATACAGGCACTTAGATACTACCTACTAGGGGCTGCTTTCACGTTGGTCACAGACCACGCCCCATTGCAATGGTTAAATTGGATGAAGGACACTAACCCTAGGCTGACACATTCGTACTTAAGTCTCCAAGCATTCACGTTCAAGGTGCAGTACAAGAAGGTCAGTACCCACGCTAACACAGATTATTTTTCCCAACAGGGAGACAGGGGCACGGAAGCAGAAGAGAGGACGACCCACTCGTCAGGGGGGCGTGTGAAGGACAGGAGGCTAGTGTGCCATCCTCAGCAAAGGATAGACAAGAAGAGACGTGCGGATGCGTAGAGGGGGAACTCATAAAAATAGAAGAGGAGGAGGTAAAGGAGGAAAAGATGGTAGAGGTACCTGTATGTTTAGCGGAAGACAAGGATGGAGACAAAGGGGAGGAGCAAGATCTGATAGTGTCGGAGGAGGTTATAAAAGAGTGGAGTGATGCGCGGGAATTTAGAGTGGAAACTGACAAAGAGGCAAACACGAATGACAGCGCAGTGCAGACAGATGGGAGTGATAAAGCGGCTAGTAAGGTCTGTGATTTGTTAAGAGAATTCCCGAATCTTAAGACAGGAGGGGGATTTCTCCCCAGTCCCGCCTTGCCCAGAAGTGAGGGGAAGGTGGTGAAACCATTAGAATGGACAGTTGTGGTTTACCCCCGCAGCCAAGGTGGAGGGAGGAAAGTTGTTTCATTAACTGAGTTTGGGGCTTTGGGGGTATAATGGAAGAGTGGCTCCATTTAAATTTTATTTAAATATAAATTATGCATCAATTCCTAGAACATCAGAATTTCAACTTATTTCTTAAAAAGTTTAATTTGGGACTCAAATTTATCCTCACTTTTGTTACCTAATCACACTGCAGAAAGATTCAGGAAGCAGTATTAATGGTGATAAGGTCCCCCCTGTTGAGGTCTCAGTCGACTTTGTAGAAGGCAATAGAATTTGAGAAGCAATAGTTGCAGACAGACTTACTAACAGTCATCCATACTATTAACCTTTTACAATTAAGGGCTCATGCAGGTGGAGAATTTATTCTTTTTGCTTTGTGCTGGTTGGCATCACTTAGTGCCTAATAAGCATGGATCTTACTGTTGGACTACAGCAACCTTCGTATGCTGCCTTTAAGAGATTTTAGATGGGAGGGATCGTCCTGGATTGGGGTTAATGTCAGTCTATCCAGCAGCAGTTTATTGTTCCCTCTCTGCCTGGGAATTTTGAAGAGAGGCCACTTTTTTCAAGTCAGGCATTATCCACAAATGCTCACATTAAAATCTAACAGTCTCTAAGGGGCTACTATGTTTTTGTCTTTTTTTATTAGGGCTTTTTAAAAAAAAATTGTTTTTACCTATAAGTCTCTGGACAGTTAGCAATGGAGTGTTCTGTCAGCTATGTAGTCTGTTGTAATAGTCTGGCATATAATAAGCCATGCAATTACCACTCCGTTAAGCTCTGCTTATGTAACCAGACAATATTTTCTACAATACGATGTTTTTGATCTATGAAGAACTGTGAGTAAAAGGAAACCTTTTATTCTTTCTCATACCAGTGTCATTGAGTGAAGTATTGAAAACAGTTATTGCCAGCTGAGGAAAATGAAGCAATGAGGGGTGGTCTATTAAGAAAAGACTTGAAGCTAATTCTGCTCTATACATCCCTGAACTTTAATCCTCTGTGTAGTTAGAGGGTTTCTAGTCACAAAAATTTCCACACACTCTGCCAAGATTGACTGTGGTTTCCTTCCACATGTATTCTTAAACCTCTTCTTCTCCTTAAGAAATCAGTCCTTCTTCAAGAAATGTTTCAAAAATATTTCAAAAACCTTAAGGAATCCTTTAAAAAATGATATTCTCTGCTGGGTTTTTATTTCTTGTTATTTTAGTAGCTCTTTACTATGTTTCAAATGGGAGCCCTTGGCAGAGGACATCCCCTGCTAATACATTTCAATAGCCTGCTGTCTTTAAAAATAACTTATCTTCAAGTATCCCAGAACTATATTCTCTATTGGAATTTTTTATTGCCCTTCTTGTTTTAGCATATTCACATGAAACTGAAAACCTCTGTTCTTGAAAAACTTGCTGCCTGAAATCCATTTCCAGAACAAAGTAGAAAAAAACATACAAAAATGCCAACTGGAGGCGGTTAGAATATCCTTTAGGAAATCCTGGTTTTTGAGACTTTCCATTTTTCTTTAATATCTGTACACATTCTCTTGACACTATTGAGACTAATTTAAGCCTTGTGTTGTCTGGATGGTGGAGAAAATACCAATCTTATCAGCACACATTGGAGTAGACATAGGGGAACAAATCTGCTATCTGGATGAGGAGTAACTTTCTTGCCTCTGGACCAAAGTGTTATGATCTAAGGGCCTAGTTAGTTATAATTGTAGTTACAAATTTGAAAATGAACTCTGTTTATTAATTATTCAAGAGCAGCCAAAATAATCACTTTTAGGTACTTTTTTAAAAATCCGAATTATGCAGGACACCACCCTGTGCTAAAAAAAAAAATGCACCTAAGCAGTTAGACCATGCACCTGTCTCCCACAACTGTAAAAGTAACTTACACCGTTAAATTTTAAAAGAAGTAACATTATTTCTCATTAAATTGTAATCACAGAACTAATTTTGGTTACTAACTAAAGTAGCCTGTCACAATCAATAGGGCTTGTGTAAATTATGATTTAGCAAGCACAATTAATATAAAGGGTCTACTAATTTGCCCTGACAATTACGATTAGCCCGCAAGATAATTTAGTTTAGCTCAAGGAGATTAAAACTTCAGAAAAGCACTAATTATGGGCAACATTATTTGCAATATGTTGCTTTCAAACTATGGGAAGAAAGTGGGGAAATGTTTGCAGTAACTAGGATCCATAACCAGCTGGAAACGTCCTAAAGGCTGGCATGAGCAAGCGAACTACGCATATCAGAGTACTTTCATTCATTCATTCATTCATTTTTCCTGCCCAACAATGGCAGAGCCTCTACTACATATTGGGATGGAAAGTTACATTTATTTGGTTGTTGTGGGTTTTTCGGGCTCTTTTACATTTATTTGCCTTTTTAAGGCATGACAAGACTTTTCCCCTCTCTCTCTC